AGTATTGTTCAGTCTTCAGTCTTATGGTCGGACGAAACACCAAAAAATTAAAGTTATATCGAGATCCTTCAGAAGGCACTCTAACACTCTGTTACTAATACTTCATGGGATCCGGAGAAGGTCTTGCTCACAATATATGACTAATCAACAGAGGTAACAAGAGATACGAGGACGCAAAACTAAGCTAAGCAAAAACGAAAGCCACGAACACAGACGATTACGTAATAACTTGTTCGCAATTAATAATCATTGTGATCGTTTTTCTAAGGCGCTATACTTGGACTTTTCAACAGCAAATGTTATTTGGCATTCAAATTTGCGACGCATTTTGTGATGTGTTGCAGACCTCGCACGGTCAAATGAGCAACCTTCCGCATAATTAGAAAACAGTCGGCAGACTAATAATAAACCTTGCCGGTTGAGTTGATATCTAGAGAGTGTGTGAAATGGTAGACAAAGCAATACTCAGGAAAATCCTGAGATCAGCCCGTATAGAATCTCGCAAACAATGATCATCAAGATCATTCAGGGTCGTTATTAAGATACCACGCACAGAGTCAACTTCAGTGTTGACTTGTCTGCACCTTTCACTGTCAGCATAAGGGTGTGGCAGGGTTGTTTTTTCCCTACTTATCTTCTTACCGGCCATTGCTTTGGTGATTCTGAAGACAACAAGGACAATTTTGTGAATCCTGCAAGGCTTTATCAAGCTGCGCCAAAGAGACATTCTATCAAATTCATGGGACTGCTTTTGGGAACGAAAATCATTTCAACTGGCATTAATCGTAATGCACTTACTGATTTAACACTATTTAAAAAAACATCAATTAATCTCCTTTTATCATTTAGCAGATGTCTAACTGTGAAATAAAAGGAATGTACAATAAACGGCTTGAAATATCTCAGTGCATCCCGATAATTGCCAAATGATTGTTGAACATACCAATGTTATGCAAACATTTGTGCCCTAAAAAAATTTTTTCCATGCTTTAGCAATCACAGTTTTAAGCCGCTTTTTTTAAAAATATTGCAACTTTTGCCAACATGCAAGCGCCGAGTTACCACGGAGAAAATGTTAGATATACAGGTTGACAAAGAAAATTAACAAAACTTGTTAATGTGAACTTCCTTATTGTTTCGTTTAATAAATAGGCGTTGTCTCGTGTTGACAGATTTATTCGATGACAAGAATCGTGATTGACATTAATTCAATAGATTGATTTAAAAGCGTTAGATTATTATGTTTTAAGTCAGTTTTTCAGCAGAATCGAAGTGAGAAAGAAGTTATTTTGTTATCGTTTTTCTATCTCCAAATCCGCTTACCTGGAGAATCTGCTAACACGTAAAGTGAGACTGTTGTAACGACCCGCCACAGAAGTAAGTTTATATTGAAGTTTTTTAATTTAGTTACAAGATAAAGACTTGATTTGCGTTTGTTCTAATTGCGAATTATAAATGTATTTCTTTTAGATCGAATAATTATTAAAGCTTGGCTTAATATTATACGGTTTGTGGTGGTCATTTGATCTAACCAGTTCCGAGTAAGGAAACACTTATTACGCTTGCGGCGACTGAAATGAAATTCAAGCGAGGCGTCGCTTTAGGCGTATGGCTACCGAGGTGTTTAGGACTACTTTTCGGGTCGCAATCACGAGAACCAAAGTGAAGGTCAACAAAGATTTATTGTCGATAAAAACCAGAATACTAAAACTACCAAGATATTAACACGAACAAGTAGCTAAAACAAGCAAGTGGCTAAAAACGACCGTAAACTAAAGTAATAATAAAACAAATTCCTACTAATGGAGGCGGAAACTTCCTAAATATAAGATAAAAGCATGTAAAAACAAATCTAACTATTCGCCTTCTTTTCTAAGTATTGATCTTATTTAATTTCTTTCTTCTCTGTGTAATGATCTTGTCCTCTCTTTATGTATTAATTTTCTAGCAGATATGCATATGTATATGTTTTCCCATATTCATTATTTTATGTTGTGTAAAACAAAAACTCTACACCGCCCAGATTAGCTATGCCATTTGCGGTGTACAGTTACCTCTCTTTCATTAGTTAACTTTCAAGAATAAACTTTCATATCGGTCCCACTTGTGCCAAAGGCCTTCAGGCCTTTATGATGTAAAGAATAATAACTCGGCGTACTGTAAGGAGAGACCTCCGCCTCATGCAAAGCCATCTTTCTGCAGCAGCCATCGCTATGACAGCGACTGTCAAGCAGGTGAAAAAATGACTAACACTAAATGAAATCAGAACAAGTGTGCATGTCAGACTGCTTTCCCATAAATGTGCTAACTTGGACGCAGCCATAACTGGCAAACTTATTAGTCCTGTACAAAAATCCGTGAAGGCCAATCCAGCAAGAAGCACATGGCATGGAGTCCTTAGCGCTGGGTTTCCCCAAATTGCTGCCAAAACGAAAGCATTCCCAGTCGCTGTCATGGGAGCGAGAAGAAACGCAAAAACACTGGTTACCACAGTTGTCCAATAGTTAGATGAGATGCTGACATTTCTATAAGTATAAACATAACACAAACTATCTAATGCGTCAGATAAATTGGACAGCATTTCTGTTTGCAAACTCGGGAGATTTGAAGCTCCTTGGGTGAAGGATGATTGGTAATAGAAGCGTTTGGTTTTCCGAGTAAATTTTTTCATTAAAGCAATATAACCCTTTTGGAGTTTAATGAGTGTCCCAGCTCACGCTTCGTCTCTTGTGTCCTTGATAATCTTGTTACGATTACATCTATTGAAAAATAACCACTGGAAGTATTCAGTTTTTAACCTACGTATCATAATGTCCTCTTTGTTCAGTTAAAACAAGGAATAGTTATATGCAATGTAGAAAAAAAATCTCCAATTGGGCAATCTTTTAAGATTTTACTGATGCCTGACTGATGCCTTTTTCTCCTTAACTCCAAGGTCGCTTTGTCTCGATCGTAATCAATCAATTTCATATATCAACAACATTCAATAGCTGTGTAGCTCTTGAAAGAATACAATTTCCCTACCCACCGTCCTGGAATCTCCAATTTATGGCTTTGCAGGATCATCTTAAAGGGGCGAAATGTTTTCTTTTACGTTCTATTCTTTGTTATTTTTATTTTTTAACAAAGCGTCGGTGGTAAAATATTTTGAAATTGTTTCAGTCATTTGTATCGATTTAGTCGCTCTTTAGTGTACGCAAAAGAAATATATATATATAATCCCATGTGAAATAATTGGACGGGGTTAAAACAACACATGTAAAACAAAGCAAACTTCGCACTGAATTGATTTCAACGTGACTCTTCCGAGCACAGACAGCTTTACTTATTTTCAATTGGAAGAGACAGTATGGTGTGCACTTTTTTTTCTGTCTGCACTAAGTGTTGGCAGTTTTCGTCCCCCTCACTAGACATGTTGGAGGAAAAGTTTTACTTTAGGCAAAACCAATTAAATCTCGGATAACCTTCAACATTCGATTAAAAACTTCACCTGCTTCTATCGTTTCTCATGGAAATAAACTAAGTAGTGAACTGCAAAGTGTCTTAAAGTACCTTTCAATCACTGTTATCAATCCTTAAATTTAAGTAATCACGGAATGGCTAATCATTGATGATTTCAGGTATCTTTCTTGACGAAATAGTGTTCCCGCGTCTAGGACCCTGCGTCAGTACAATGTGTGGGTCGGTACGTTCTTAATGCGTTCGCATAAAATTTTGTGGCAGTTGAGTATTCCCGGCGTTATAGATCATTATGAACATTTGTGGACAACTTGGAGCTTGTGCGGCACTTTTCAATGTTTGAATGATCGACTTGCTTTTTTCTAAGCGCCGTACCATCCGTTTGCCTTTCAGCGAATCGAAGGGTACTTCTTTCCTAGCTGAGACAAAATCCGCTTCGGTGACCTCTGCACGTGCTATCAACTCGTCAAGAGAAGTCATGTTCTCTTAACGCTGAGATTCAGTAGTCAACAAGTGTCTGAAAAAGGAAAGGAAGAGATTTGCTGCCAAACCGTCCCACTCTTTTCACATCAAATAGGGTAGGTTCTGAATTAAATCTGGACAGATGCGCAATTAAATATCCACCTGAAAAAATAGCAATATTTATTGTATATCCCTCACACTTACCCAGATATCAACACTTTGCGCACCCGGTTGAGTCTATCCGCGACGGCCATCTTTTTTTGGTTTTTCAATTCAGCGCGCGATTCCGCTGACGCGCTCTACAATTTCACGCCTGCTGTGATGGTAACTGATCTGATGAGCTAAAGCTCCGTTCCTTTGATGCAACGTGATCGGTGTGATCTTGGATCACAAATCCTAATCCAGATCCTCCCAAAGGAGCGCACCTTAAGTTCAGATGGAAAAGTTCTTATAACCACACGCCATCGCACAAGTCTGCTTTTTCGAAGGAGAAGTTACTTAGTGTCACTTCTAACAGTCAGAGAAGACTAATTCTGCAAATGCCCAAATAAAATCGATGTTATTTTTCCAGATTACGTATAACGCACCATCACCATCATTAGGCCTCAGTCACTTAAGGTTTCCCGGTAATACATTAAATTGGCGGCCACGATACATTCATTTACCCCAATTACCGGTTCATATCAATAGTTCCAAACTAAAAGCCTATTTGCAAATAGGTTACCTTTATCGAAGGGAAATTGCAAAACAATGTTTTTCTAGCAATTGAAACCAAGAACACCCACACAAAGTTACAATGACCTAACCATTTCGTGTAAGTGCAAACGTAAAATCCACTTTGTTGCATATAATTTCAGTCACACTGTTTCAAACTAAATCACACGCGAAAAGACCTAGAATATTGCGTTCGATTCGGTGGCGACCAATAAAAAAAGTATCAATACAAATTATCATGTTGTTTCCTAAGGTCTTATTGTTTTTGTTTCAGTGTTTAAATTAACCGCCTGAAAAATAGCAATATTTATTGTATATCCCTCACACTTACCCAGATATCAACACTTTGCGTGCCCGGTTGAGTAGTGGAGGCAAAATAGCTCATTGTCATCGTTTACGTCCAATGGTGGACGGTACTTGCAGATTTTGTACGCTTCATTACGATACAGGGCGCTTTTATTTGATTTTGGACGTTTCCGACCATTTCTTCCGATTTGGTAGTTTCTGTGCGATTTCCATTTAATCGATTTCCGTCCCATTTCAGACAATTTCCGTCTGAAATCAAACAAATTCTTTCTGAGTTCAGATGGAAAAGTTCTTTCAAACACACGCCATCGCACAAGTCTGCTTTTTCGAAGGAGAAGTTACTTAGTGGTCACTTCTGACAGTCAGAGAAGGTAATTCCGCAAATAAATCGATGTTATTTTTCCAGATTACGTAATAACGCACCATTGCCATCCTTAGGGCTCAGTCATTTAAGGTTTCCCGATAATTCAGTAAATTAGCGGCCACGATACGTTCATTCACCCCAATTAACGGTTCATAACGATAGTTTCCAGACTGAAAGCCGTTTTGCAATTAGGTTACCTCTATTGAAGGGCAAAACAATGTTTTTCGTGCAATTGAAACCAAGAACGGTCTCATACAGTCATAATGACCTGACCATTTCGTGTAAAATGCAAACGTAAAATCCACTTTGTTGCATGTCAGTAATTTCAGTCACACTGTTTCAAACTAAATCACACGCAAACAGACCTGGAATATTGGGTTCGATTCAGTCGTGACCAATAAAATAAGTATCAAAACAAATAATCATATGCATCTTGTTTCTTAAGCTCTAATTACTTTTGCTTGTTTTGAACAAAACGATTGTTTTTAAACTACTCATTGCCAGTCTTGCTAAGCCCCGATTCAGACGAGTCATGGCAAATAACAGCAGACGAAAAATCGAGCCTATTTTTGCATGGGCAGAATATGAGGAAAGCCATTTAGCAGATCACCCAATGCCAAATGATTTTTCATCACCAAAGGGAAGTGAAGCACCCTGTGCCAACAGGAAAAACAGCAAAAAAGTGAATTTTCCGCGCAACGAGCCTGAACTGATAGTAGAGCCTTTTGATATGGAAGGAGATGTCTCTCCCCCTTGCAAAAACTTTTCGTCATCTAAACGACTGTTTAAACGGCGCAGATGGAAAGGAAAGAAGAAGTCATCGTCATCCGTTCAGACCTTTGAAGATAAAGATTACCATCCTGACAATTGTGAAAATGTGCCATGCCTTACCTCATACCTTACTCCTCCCAACATAATGTATCCAGGTCATGTGCAGGTCTGTCTCCTTCCAGGTTGTCTTCCCAGCGAAGTGGTGCTGATGTCATCTGGTGGTGACACGGAATCAACGCCACAATCGAGGGATGTGATGGTAGAAGACACAGAAGTTGATCTCTGGCTGAAAGATATTTGCAATCAAGCAATGACTCTGTATACGTCTATGCAACCCGTGATCTCTGAACCATCTAGTTCACCTTCGTCTGGTGCTAAGGACCTCGAGAGAGATGTTCCCGAGGAAAAAAAGTCTTCGCTGGGTAACAGATTGATGCTGTTTATGCAGAATCAAAGGGGAATTGTTCGTCGAAATGCTATTTGTGAAGAACTGGAAATGACCATGGGCTTGGTAAAAATCAAC